CAACAGGCAGGCAAGGACCTTCCTGCCCTCTCAGCCCCCACGGGCTGCAGGGAGAGCTTTGGCTCCGACAGCCTTCCCCCTCTCTTTCTGCTCCAGCACCCGTCCTCCTCCTCTTTCTTCTCAGGACTATGTTCCTCTCATCTCCCCCTCCTCCAGCAGAAAAAAAACCTCTCCAACACAAAAGACAAGGCAGCTCAAGATGAGACAAAACCAAAAAAAACCAGAGAACAATGGCGTTGTCTCTTAAATACTGTGATGGCAGGGGTGCTGACTGGCCAGAGGCAGGGCCGACTTCCACCTGGTGGCTAGAGAGGCTCCCCAGGTTTCACGAGAGTCATCCCCTGCAAAAACCCCACCAGACTCAAACTCGTGACAAGCCCTTTCTTGTCCTTCACCTACTGGCCACCTGGAACTCTTACTTAAGCTTTGGCTGCACAAATTTCTCCCTCCAGTGGCAAAGAGCATCTTGAGTCCTCCCCTGTTGCCTGTTGCTTTCTGAAGTCCACACCCTTTCCTTTTCCTCCTAAGTCCTAGAAGATCCCCGCTTAGCCAAGCCAGCCTCCTGCACCACTTGCTTGACTTTCAACACTTTGAAATTCTTTGTTTCTGAGCTCTGAGAGAAGGCTTTTAAAAACTGGCCAGCGTTCAGGGATCAGCATTCAGTTTACCTTCTAGAATGGCTATTGCAGTTCCTGTTGTTCTTAAATCATGTTGAAATTTGCTCTTCTGTAATTTAAGAGCAGTGTCTTTAGAAATTCGTTATACAATAATGTAGTAAAGTTGAGTTGTAATAATTTTTGATCCTGATCACACTTAAAATACAAATTTGTTTTCATTACATGCTGTTTTCAGCAGGTAGTAGTTGGCAGTTGCTAATACCTGAAACGGAATACCTGAGGTTGAAAAGCCGGAGGATACCACTCTTCGGTGTTCGTTGCACAGAGTCTTGCGCTTGACCCTTAAGGGCTCTAGGCTTGAGAGCCATTGCTGTAACTTAATTTCTGCACCTTCATCTGTAACCTAGTTCATGTAACTGATTTTTCTTCATCTTTCTTTTTTTTGTCATTGTTAGAATGAAAATAAGCTTAAATTCTTCCGGCTTGCTGCTGCCAGACATCAGCACTTGTATCGTCTCGCCATGACTGGGGCTGGCATTGACCGCCATCTCTTCTGCCTTTATGTCGTGTCCAAGTACCTTGCTGTAGATTCTCCTTTCCTTAAGGAAGTAAGTGACTTTAATTGATAACTATTAAATGCAGTAAATAATCCTTTCTTTACTTAGTGGTTTGTGGTGTCTGCTTACACACTTGTAGAACTGGGGTTTTCCTCAGAAAGAAGGAAAGAGTTCAGCCAGCATCACGTAACTGGTAGATGACAAGTTAATTTCATTTGCCTTTATGTATACACTTATTAGTAGACCTGTAGTAATGCTTTCTGTGAGCGTTGTAGTATAATACATGTTATCATACGGATTGTGAGAAAGATCCAGTCAGTATTACCAAAAAAAAATAGCGGTTGCGTGTGCATTTTACATTATTTCAAGGTAGCACAAGGGAGGCGCTCTGTGTTTTCTCTCAAGACTGTTCTTTTGCAACGGTGGCCATCGCTTTCTTTTAAGTTACTGATTTAAAGGAGCTGTATATTGTGATTTATTCTTTTTAATGCACACCATTAATGTCACTGTTTATTGCTGCGACAAATGCTTTGTTACATAAACTAGATTTTAAGCTTGAGTTTTATAAAAGTAATTACATTGCACTAATTTGTGTTTTCCTGCTTAATAAAAAATGTGCTTGCCTCCAAATCAAGATACTCACATTTGTCTGCTTGCCCTCCTAAACGTGTGAGTAGTGGCTAAGTCAAGAATAAAACCACTTTCTGCAGCTGCCACAGACTTTCAAGATACATGTGTGTTGTTAGAGATTTTACAAGCTTCTAATCTTACCAGGATTTGAATGTGCCTGTTAATGATCTTGTTGTAAACAAACCTGTTATATGGAATTTAGCAGGCTATAGGTCAGATTAATCTGTTTCAGATAGGCATTTCTATCAAAAGAACTCTTATTCTCCTTGAGGAATTGACATTATGACCTCATGTGTTAATGGTTTGCATATCAATACAAGTTGAGCTCTTGCTTTTAACCTTCTCAATTGTTCATTCCATTGAAATGCGAACTGGAGTTATCCTTAATATCGCTTTATCAAGTGCTTTCTAATTTATCTTGGCTGGTTTTGCCAAAAAAAAAAAAAAAAAAAAGAAAAAGACTTGCACGTTCTTAAACAGCATCTCTCTCATGTCTCACAAAGGTTTTGTCAGAGCCTTGGAGGCTGTCAACGAGTCAGACACCACAGCAGCACATTGATCTAAAGAAGAACCCTGAGATGTTATCGTGTGGTGGAGGATTTGGACCAGTAAGTTTATGAAATACAAGTACCCCTTTAAAAACAGTTTTATTGTGAGCATGGCAGACAAAAAATTTCAGATCTGTAGTACGGCAATGTTGCATGTGCTTTTAAATGCGTGTGTTTAATGCCTTCCCATCTGCATCTCATATCCTGCTACAAGAGAGGATTATTCTTAAGGAAATAGAGAGTTATCGAACGTGGTACAGGACTCTGTGGCAGAGAGATCTGATAAACTACAGGCTGTGCCCAGAGCTTCTGCACATCAGGTTATTTTTACAGTGTCAAATGCTGTATTACTTAAAGTAGATTTTAATGTTGGAATTTGCAAATGTAATTATACTTGACTTGTTCTTTTTATTTCCTGATTAGTCAGAAAATGTGTCTTTGCTTTTCTCCAAATTAACCTGCTTGCCCTCCTAAGTATGAATAATGGCTGAGTCAAGAATAAAACCATGTTATGTGGCTTCTGTAGACTTTAAAGAACTAGCACATTGTTAAAGATTTTACAAGCTTCTGACTAGCTGTAGTATTTTACTGGGATTTGAACGTGGCCATTGATGATGATACGTACCATTTTTAACCAGATCTGTTAAGCAGACTTTATGGGTCTATAGACTAGATCCACCTGTTTTCAAAAAGCATTTCTGTTGAGAGAACAATGGGAGGGATCAAGGACTGCTGTTTGCCACACAGAAATTAGGGTGACAGGCACAGCGTGTTTTGGCTGGTTTGTCACGCTGGAAGTTGTTTTATGTGAGTTGTTTTCTGAAGAGTGGTTTGGTGAGCACCTCTGCCAGCTCCCTCCGTACCCTTGGGTGATCCCATCCGTCCCCACGGACCTGTGTGGGTGCCTGGCTCACAGCCTGCTGCTCCACTGTTTGCCCTTGGGTTGTGGGGCCTTCCTTCTGCTCCCCGTGTCTTCCAGCTCGGAGGGCTGGGTACCTGCAGAACAACTGGTCTTGCTGTTAAAGACTGAGGCAAAGAGGGCATTGAGTACCTCAGCCTTTTCCTCGTCCCTGGTTATTATGTTTCTGCCTGCATCCAATAAAGGACGGAGCTTCTCCTTAGCTCTCCTTTCATTGTTAATGTATATATAGAAGCATTTTTATTGTCTTTTACAGCAGTGGCCAATTTAAGTTCTAGCTGGACTTTGGCCTTCTAATTTTCTATCTGCATAATCTCATTACATCCTTGAAATCCTCCTGAGTGACCTGCCCCTTCTTCCAAAGGTCACAAACTCACCTTTTTTTCCTGAGTTCCAACCAAAGCTCTCTGGCCAGGCCAGTCTTCTTCCCTGCTGGTTTGTACATGGGTGCGGCCTGCAGCTTTAATAGTTCCTTCATGAAGAACTCTCAGCCTCCCTGCGCGTCTTTGCCCTTCAGGGCTGTCTCCCAAGGGGCTCTGTCAGCCAAGCTTCTAAACAGGCCAAAGTCTGTCCTCCGGAAGTCTGAGGTAGCGATTCTGCTGATCCCCCTCCTTCCTGCTCTGAGAATTGATTTCTGTGCCCAAGACATCCTCCAAACATCGCATCACCCACAAGTCCTTCTCTCCTCACAAAACAACAGGTCCAGCAGGTGCCTTCGCTGGCTGGTCCCTCACCAGCTGGGTCAGGAAGGTTTCTTCCACACACTCCAGGAACCTCCTGGATTGTCTCCTCTCTGCTGTGTTGTATTTCCAGCAGCCATCTGGGAAATTGAAGTCCCTCACAAGAACAAAGGCTAGTCTAGTGATCATGAGACTTCTCCCAGTTGCTTATAGAATATTTCATCTGCCTCTTCATCATGGTTGGGCAGTCTATAACAAACTCCTACCATGATATCTGCCTTGTTGGCCCTCCCTTTGATTCTTACCCGTAAATGCCCACCCGTTATCACCATTATGAGGCTCTAGACAATCAAAACTCCCTTACATAGAGGGCTGCCCAACTACGTGTCCTTCCTTGCCTGTCCCTTCTGAAGAGCTCACAGCCATGCAGCGCAGCGCTCCCGTTGTGCCAGTAATCCCACCATGTTTCTGTGATGGCCACTCTTGTCCTAGCTGTCCTGCTGCACAGTGGCTTCCAGCTCCTCCTGTTTGTTGCCCGTGCTGCGTGCATTGTATTCCACTTCATGTGGAATATTGATCCTGCTGCCTTCCTGAGGTGGGTTTTGGACATTTGGACACATTAATAATCCTTGCATCTTTGCTGCAAATTTCGATCATTTGCCTCCACTGAGACGACAGGCCAAAGAACCTCACTAGCACACCGTGCCTCAAACACTGGCGTGCTACCCCCGGGCTTATCTCCAGCAAGCCTGGTTTTATCCCTTTGCCCCTGCAAATCTAATTTAAAGCTCTTTCAGTGAGCCCTGTTAATTCCTGTTCTAAGATCCTTTGCCCCTTTGTGACAGCTGTCCTGCATCTCTTGCAAGCAGCCCTGCTGTCAGGTAAACCAGCCCGTGGTCACAAACCCCAAACGTCTGTTGATGATACCAGGTTCAGAGCCAGGTATTGATCTGCTGGCACATCATTCCCTGTAGCTGGAGGGATACAGGAGAACACCACTTGTGCTCCTGATGCCTTAGCCAGTAATCCCAAGGTCCTGAAAACTCCCTTGGTTGCCCTTGGACTTCTTCTTGCAACTTCTTCTATGCCTAGGTGGAAAATTGCTAATGGTTAGTAATCTGAGGGCCGTACCAGGGTAGGGAGCTTTTTCTTCACATCTTCAACTTGGGCCCAAGGGAGGCAACACACATCCTAGGAAGAGGGTTCAGTCTCAGATTGGGCCTTCTGTTCCCCTCTGAAAGGAATCTCCTATGACACTGGCCTCTTTTTTTTTCTTTTTTTTGTGGAAGCAGTTTTGATGCTGGGCACTGGCCAACATAACCTCAGCAATACCTCCAAGCTGCATGAACCAGAGCCTCCCCCTGTTATGCAAGGGCACTTGGGAAAGTGGGGTGGTGGCAGAGGAGACAAATCTGCTGCACTAGGCAGAACAACCTTGCTGCCATTGTGCCCTGTCCCTTGAGTCCCTGTGCTCAGCCAGGTAGAGAGAGGACAGGGAACCCACCGGGTCATAGAATCATAGAATACATTGAGTTGGATGGGACTCTTAAAGGTCACCTGGTCCAAGCCCCTGCAGGGAGCAGGGACATCTTTCACTAGATCAGGGCGCTCAGAGCCCCGTCCAGCCTGGCCTTGAATGTCTCCAGGGATTGGGCCTCCAGCACCTCTCTGGGCAACCTGTGCCAGGGTCTCACCCCCCT